TTTAAAAGTTCCCCATGTATGTTAAATAGGTTATGAACCTTGGAAAAACAAATTTGCATGTATCATAGATAAAACATAGATCCAAGGTTTCTAGGGTTGCATGTACACCATAGGAGTGTTAGAATGCTCAAAAACCCTACAAGTATGCCACAATATGATCAGATTCTAGGAATGGTAGGTCGTTGGAGACTAGGCGTGATGTCAGGCTATGGTGGTTCTGGTAGCATTCATTTTTCGTATTAGATTTGGGGGCAATGGGTAGTCGGACTGTTATGATTGGGATGATCAAAAGGAATAATGGATCCATGAGTGGCAATATGGTTAGGGCAGATTTCGATAGCCGAAGTTCTTTTTGGAAGTCGCGGTAAGTGACTGTGAGGTTGCTCTTTGGCTCAGCAACCGGGTAGGAATCCGGTATTCCAGATAGCGGTAGTGATTTGGGATTTGTGTAGAGTAGCTTGTGGACAGGAAGATGCTAAGACACTTGTAGTTGGATTAAATAATCTTAGAGTAATTAATTTGACCCTGGCGCAACTCTCGTCTGAGTCTAAGCGTTGCAGGGATGAATCTTCTACTCGAAGGATTATCTGAGCCTTCTGTCAAGTATAAGTATTTTGCAGCTGGTTATGGTCAGTGGCTTGGTTTTCGTAGGTTGCATCAAGATAATCAGGGTTGCAAGTATTATGGTTGGTCAGTTATTCGTTGAGGTTTTGGCATGGTATTTTTTAGCTTAGGCGGTCTGTCGGGGAGACAGACCATTATAGATTTTGGATCTCAGGAAGGTAGAAGTGGTTTTTTGTATGAAAGTAAGGATTTATCCTTCATCGGGTTTGGAGAGTCTTGCTTTGTTGGGTTCAGTTGCCTCGGGAAGACCATTGAATGCTCTGTATGATGGATGTGTCTCTTAGGCTGTCGGGTGACAGTATTCGTTGGATTCAGAATGGGTTGTCAGTTGTGAGTGGGAACATCGATGGGATCATAGCAGAAAATAGGAGCATGCAGAAGTGGCATGTGAATAGTATCTAGAGTGGGTTGCTGCAGCAGACTTCAAGGACGAAGTCTAGTTTAAGCGGGGGTGATTTATAACATCTCGAGAATTATAAGGTTCATATTGCATGCATGGGCTTGATCTAATTAAGTATGGAGGTTTTTCAAGCCTAGAACGTTTAATTGCTAGCTTGATGTTGGAGGCAAACAATAACAAACGGGTTAAAAACGATTTTCATATCCTTATTGGGCCTGGAAATAATATACATGTTTAGTGGGCCTTTTAGTGTCCTTTTACATGTTTAGTGGGCCTTGGTTGTCCTTTTACATGTATATTGGGCCCAGGATATACATTCATATTCCTTTTGAGCCCTGAAATAATAGTCACGTATAGTGGGCCTTAGTGGTCCACTTACATGTTTATTGGGCCTGGAATGAGTGTATACTTTTTCTTCGCGTAAATTCGATTAAGGATCTAGTGAGTTTTATCGGTTGACACCTGTTAAGTGTACGATCGTAGCCTGTAGTTATAACCAGATTCTCTTGGAGGGAGAGCGTGAGTTTGTGTATAGATCTATACGGGGGTGACGTCCCACACCTAAGCTGTTCGCTACAGTTAGACTAGTCCAGTCTAGGGTGACAAACCATATCTTAAACAAGTCGGCGTCTTCCAGACATCAAGACAGGCGAAATTGTCATTATCAAGCATGGTTGTAACGGCTCACTTAGAGGAATTAACGTTATAAAATTTATGGGAGACCATTCTCTTTTCTCTTGAATTACTCGGAAACATACTCTCACTGGTACTCAACCTCGGGGGTTGGTATGGCAGCATTCTCTTTTACAGACAACACCGGGTTGTCTGCAGGAGACATTCTCTTTACATTCTCTTTACCCTTTTATGCTAATAAATAATAACATACATGCATTAATACACGATCTGACACAAGCATACTAAACAGTTTTCAGAAAATATAGGATTTTATGGTGGTTTCAAAGTTATACATATCATTTTCACAAACATGCTTATGAACTCACCAACATTTTTATGTTGACCTTTTTAAATTAACTTGTATTCTTAGGAAACCGTTGAAGCAGTTTGAGCTGAACAAACTAGTGGATGTTTAAGTTATATTCTGTCTCATCATACTTTAACTATTTGGCATGTAATATTCAATTACAATACTCAATGTAAACTATGAATGTTGTTATATTACATGTGTGATGATGATGATGTTATGTTTCAATTATATACTCTGTAATGATACTACAACGATGAAGTCACGCTCAAGCTCCCGGATGTTTCCGCCATCTGGTTCGGGGGTGTGACATTTTGTGTCTTGATTTATGGATTGGAATCTTTAATGGATGTTTGGGTCCTTTTTGGGCCATGCAAAGGTGCCAAGTTGATGACTTTATGGCTTAAGACACTGACAGGAAGCTACTTTGAAGATTTGAACTTTGGACTTAAAGTATTAACACATAAATGTAATTTTTGGTCCCTGGTCGGGAACGCAGCGCGTTCATCTCGGGAACGTCGTGCATTCCGGCGTCGAGTCACGATCGGCGGTCAGGCAGCGAACGCCCAACGTTCGGTCCAACAGTGGGCTTCTTCGGCTTGTTCTCATTGGGCTTCGGACTTGGATTGGAGTTTTCGCGTGTTGGGCTTTTTGGTCAGAAGGTTCTTAGAGTTTTGGACTTTTGTTTGGACATGTCTAGTTGGGCCATGATTTCATATTGGGCCTTGGTGGTCCTAATGGTTTTGGACTTTGCTTAGCTCAATGGGCTTGGACCTTTGGGCCATTGGAGAATTATTATTGGACTAGGAATTGTTAGGCTTTAGGTAAGGCCCATATGGGGTTAGGCCCATTTTGGAAAATTGGGCCATTAGTGGGCTCTTATGGATCGTATAGTTTTGGGCCTTTTGATTTTGGGCTTGGGCCTCATCTTTTGGTTCATGTTGGGTTGGGGGTAAAATGGTCATTTTACCCCAAGTGTGGATTATGGATCATGGTTTGGAATTCAGTTGCTAACTAGAGGTTGTTTTGGTTATTCTTAGTTTGGGAAATCGTCAATGCAGCAACTTGGGATTTCGTGCAGTGAGCTTCTGCATTCGAGGTGACTCTCCTCACTATTTGTATGGGTCGAAGGCACCAACGCCGACCCATTTGGTTTATGTATTGTAGGAAGACCGGGGGGTTAGCCCTTGGCACTATGTATGAAAGACCATGAGGCAGCTCCTGGCGCATTGTATGCTATTAGTTAAGTAGAGTAGATTGTATGCTAGTTGTCTTTGTGGTACTTGCATGGAAGACCCGGAGGTGGCTCCTGACACTTGTCTATAGGACCCAGGGGGTGGCCCCCGACTTGACAAAAAAGACCACGAGGCGGCCCGTGTCATAACGGCAAGAGTATGTGCGGCACATAACATCTTATATGACTATGATTGATATGTAGCTCACGGTTATGTATGACATGTATGGATATGATTGATATGTATGTTATGTGGTATTTGGGGAACTCACAAAGCTTCGTGCTTACAGTTTTCAGTTTTGGTTTCAGATACCTCCAGTTTTCAAATAAATGAGCTCGGGACGATCACAATGCATATACCCATGTTTTTTCGCAATATGTGATCTTTGAGATTAGACTCTGATATTAATTTTAATTGAAATGTTTTTAGTGTCCGGAACAAAGTTATTAAGTGTTTTTCCTATATTAAAAATGAAATTTTTACCTTGAATTTTTGGGTCGTTACATTTTAATTGACGTGGTAAGTGATGTGGCAAGTTGTTAATTGAAGTGGCAAATGATACCTGCTGACTGACTTCCCTTTCAAAATAGTGAGCTTTTAACCCTTCTAAATTGGACTTCATATCCTTAGAAAGCGGAAAAAAGACCTTTTAAACCAAAAGCTCTAAGTTAGTTGGGCTATAGTGACATTTTCCACTATAAGATATTGTTCAACATTGGTGTAGTTTTTCTGTTTCTTAAGGTTTTAATGAGTAATATACTTTCGTTAGAATGAAAACGCTCTCTCATGCTTGAAAGGTTTGTAGATTGAAACCCATTTAAAATGAAGAGGAACACGCAATAATTTAATCAGTGTAATGTTAGTCTAGAAGAGACTGTAGATTTAGTGATGGCGTGAAAGTTGTTAATATAAATGGTAGGTAGAGGATTTTTCCCTATAAAGTTTACCTTTAATAGAATCTTGAATGACCTTTTGCTTACTGCAATCATGATTTTGCCCAAGAAATACTTAGAGCACAGAGTAGATGTGGCCGTCTCCCATGGGAAGATTTCAAAGGAAACAACTAAAGATTTATTACATTGAATATTATCCAGCATTTAAGTTTTTCAGACAAAAGTTGTCAAAATCAAAACGAAGATAAAGAACAGGGGCAATTTAGTAAATAAACAAAGTTACAATTAAGAAGCCGATATAAACTTTTATTATATATTGACGACTAAATATATTCTTATACATCTTTTTTTCATTTACCAAAATGATCAAAGCTTGAAAAAATATTTTTGATTTTATTAAGAATAAGTATTTTATATTTACACTGTATTATGAAAATATTTTGATTTTCTAGTGCTTTATGTGATCTTCAATTTTTTCATGCCTATCTAAAATCCCAATTTCTTAAAATGACTCCTCATATTGTAATAGAAAATTAGACAATATATAATGAATTATGTTGTGATTTGTAATATTTACTTCACGAGATTTGGGGCTTAACAACCCATAATATAATCATAAAGATGTTAGAAACGCGTTATAAATTAAAAATGTCTCGAATGATTTAAAGTTATTCGCCTTTTATAATTGTTAAATTTTTTGAACAATATGTTTGTGTAGTTTTAAATCAAAACAATCGTATTTTAACTTTTTAACAAAAACAAAGTACTTTTCCTTGTCGACGCCACTTAAACCTCCATGTAAGTAAGTTCTATATGGAATGTCACGTCATCTTATAACAGGCTATCCCATTCTTCCTTCTAATAATGACCTTTTTGATATATCTCTTGAAAGTTTAGGACTTTGAATGACAAAAAGATAAACGAGTGACCAAATGAGATCAAAACCTATATAAGTTGTGGGGAAACAGTGACATCAACCCAAAACACAAAACTATCATCCATAATAACACTAACAAAACTTTCCGCTTTGCTCTTTAATTTTGAATCGTCACATGATTTTCATAATTCACAACCTGGAACAAAGATTTCACAGTTAAATTTGGAAAACTAGCAAGCAATATTTTCCATCGTTTAGGAGAACTTGGAAAAAATGCAAGTTCAGATGGTATTTAGTACCTTTTAATCTCAACAGTTTCTTTCTGAAAACTAGTTGATCTGTAGGGGCCATGTGCTGCAAATAGAACAGACAAGTCAATAGTAGAAACTATAAACTCAAGTGTAAATTACAATTTCGATTTCCATTTATAACTGATGCAAAGAGTCAAAACTAATCATGTTTACATTATGAAATGTAATGGAAGTGCAACTGCTATCGAAATATGATATCTAATGGATTCTAACTTACACCATTACTAAACCGGCAACTCGGTTTCAAACGAAATCGATTTGTATGAAACCATTTTTTTCTACACCAGTCCGGTTCGGTTTTTTGTTTTTTAGTGTCCCTCTAACTTTCTTCTTGTTTTTTAGATGCTACGAAATGTATTGAATTTTGTAGGATATCTTATTTCATACATAACAGAGAAAATGGCCACCCATGGTGTTGGTGGCAACTTTATTAAATATGGAGGGCTTAAAACCTCCAGCAAAATTACATACTAGAAAATAAGAAATCAAAAATAAAAACTAGATGACAAACTATGTTTGTCTAGCTTTATGCAAACTTGAAATGCGCAACAGCACCTTCACCTAAACCCAATCTTTGCAGCTATCAAAAAAGTGAAAAAATGCACGTCTCCCTCGGCGGTTGAGAAGCACCACATGCTATCCAAAATCCAATAGCAAAACCAGTTCCCCCACCAACATAAAACCATCCCCAAAATTCATCTATGTCTTTCGCATCACTCTTACTTTTACCAACGATTGGTGGGACTTCTGATTCTTCATCTCCAGGACACTTTTTGGTAAGGGGAAGTCCACATAGTTGTGAATTCCCATCATATCTTGAAGGTTCAAAGGACTGGAGTTGAGTGCTAGATGGAATTCTCCCTGAAAAGTTATTAAATGACAAGTCTAGGTCATTCAGTAAAGTCATCTGAGACATGCTTGATGGTATGCGCCCTGAAAAACTGTTTCTAGACAAATCCAAAGTCAGAAGTTTTTTCATCTCACCAATTTTCTGTGGAATCTCTCCAAATAGAGAGTTCTTTGACAAGCTCAGGGCAATCAAGTCATACAGATTGGTAATTTCATATGGAATATGTCCTGTTAAATTGTTGCTTGACAGGTCAATAGTCTTCAACAATTTCAGGGTGCTAAAGAATTCGTGTTCATCTCCTTGCCACTCAATCATTGCATGGTCAACATATATCCCCGATCCATATGCAACACCTCTTACAAGTGTATAAAACTTTACATCTTGTGAGAATCTTGGTTGAATCATGCTCGTAAGATTACTCAAACATGAGGGGATGGTTCCATGAAGATTGTTCATTGACAAGTCCAAAATTTGAAGATTAGCTAACTGACATAATTGTAAAGGGATGGTTCCAAAGAAGTTGTTTGATCTTAGGATAAGAACATACAGCCCTGATAAGTTTTCTCCTATCCAAACAGGCACATTACCAGAAAACTTGTTGGCCCCCAAATTCAAAGAGATTAAACTTGTGCAATTCTTTAAAGACAAAGGCAATTCTCCAGAGAAGTTGTTCTTGTACAAATACAACACCTCTAATTCTATCAAAGATGCAATAGAGGGAGGAAGCCTTCCAAAGAGATTGTTGTGTCCGAGATTAAGAACTTTTAGCTCTTTGAAAAGCCACAAACAGTCGGGGAGTTGTCCGATGAATAAGTTATGAGAGAGGTCAAGAAATGACAAGAAACCACCAACAATTTGGCATATAAACGAGATTCCTCCAGAAAACTTGTTTCTGGAAAGATTTAATAATGACAAAGTAGAAGAAACATTTAGTATCGGACCGTGAAAGTTGTTGGAACTCAAATCTATCTTTGAACCGTTGGCAAAACTTGATAATAAATCTGGTACTTTCCCGCTAATGTTGTTGGAAGAGAGATTCAGATATTTTAATTGAGAAGGCCACGTGTCCCAAAACTCCAGAGGAATGGTGTCTGAAATTCCAGTATTGGAAAGATCAAGACGGGTAAGATTTTTGAGTGTCTGAATCCATTTGGGGAAGAGAGGCCCTATATTGGAAGAGCGCAGATCAAGATACTGAAAATAAGAGATGTTTGACAAGTGATCTGGGGAAGGAACTGTAAGATTATTAAAAGAAAGGTAAAGAGTTCGGAGCCTGGGTAGTTCCCACAGTTTCTCACTTATACTTCCATTTAAGTGATTATGAGATAAGTCCAAGTACTCTAGGGATGAAAACTTTTGGATATCATTGGACAATGATTCTATAAATTGGCTATCAGAAGCATCCAACCATTGTAATGAAAGGGATGTGCATCCAGACAAGTTGTTGAGAAAATCAGGAAATTGGACAGCAGCCGAGTTGTTACTGATTTCCAAATACTCCAAGCTACAGAGGTTACCAAGATATTTGGGTATCCCATCTAACATGTTGTAAGAGAGATCAAGATAACCAAGCTTATTGCTGGTTAATAGGAACAACCAACGATACATGGATGAGGTGAGACTGTTGTTTCCAAGATAAAGGCCTTCAATAGATGAAGAAGAAGAAGAAAAGTTGAGAAATGAAGAAGAATATGGATACATCACCTGTGACAGCTCACATCCCTCTAAAGATAAATATGAGAGTTTCGGGAGACTCAGAATTACATCTACCCAGTGATTTTGTTTGGCTAGGGAAATCCCATCTAATTCAAGTTTCTCCAAATGAGACAGATTAGACAACCACTCTATCTTTTCAACTCTACATCTTCCAACGTAACTAAGTTGAAGGTGTTGCAAGTTGGTGAGGTTTTCAAATTCTGGAGGAATGGTTCCATAAAAGGAGTTATCGGAAAGATCAAGGTAAATTAATTGGGTCATGGAACCAATGAAGATGGGAATGTTTCCATGAAAAGAATTGATGGAAAGATCCAAATGATTCAAATAGCTTAAATTAAGCAAAGAATGGCTAATCTCACCTACAAGACCAGAGTTGCTGATTTCAAGCTTTGTAACATGACCTGTTTGGTTGTTGCACGTAATTCCTTTCCATTTACAGCAGTCATGTTCGTCAGCTGTCCAAGTAGAGAGACCACCATCAGGGTCTTTAAGGGGAGCTTTAAAAAGAAGGAGAGCGTGTATCTCCTTATCCAAACACTTGTTCATCACAACATCTGCATCAACCCCTCCTTCTCCCTCTCTTACCAATTGGCTGGAAGTTGTAGTCACAATGAGTAGCAAAAGAAGTGAGAAAATTATAAAAACACAAGGAGTCATAATGTCTAAATGAATTTCTTGCTGATTTTTGGTTTGTATATAAACTGCCCTCATGAGGGTTTATATAGTCTCAACTGTGAGGATGAATGATTCTAAGTAGGTGATCTCAAACTGGTGGCATACGTGTTTGGAGCAAAGAGTAAGGCAAATTAAAAATGATGAATTGGAATAAATTGCCCCGGATTAGACGTTCATACACTTAGAAGTCTTGGTCGTTTGTATTTATTATCTATTATAATACCCAAGAAAACAAAGTAACGAAATCAAATGCCAATCTACCATGAAAATAGTAAAAATATTATTTGGGTCTCTTGATAAAGTGATGTTGAATACAGATTACTTTTTATTTTTTATTTTAGAACTGTTATCTACCATGAAAATAGTAAAAATATTATTTGGGTCTCTTGATAAAGTGATGTTGAATACAGATTACTTTTTATTTTTTATTTTAGAACTGTTATCAGTAGATAGAGCAAAAACTTTATCGACATACAAACAAATCAAAATTTAAAAGCAAACATTCAATTAAACCCCAATTCAACAGCAATCACGAATCTCGCATTCCCCCTTCATTATTATACAATTTATGTTTCTGCCCGGAGATATAGCACCCAATAAAATAGAGAACAGAGATAAAGAGAACAAATGCGCTGAGTACCTGTGATCGGCTGATAATTTACCTGATGGAAAGCCAAGAAGATGACAACGGTAGCGGCAAGGTGGGAGATAAAAGCAACGAGTTCGGATGTAAGAATGCGATAAGTTCAAAATCCGCTAAATATTCTTTTATGATGATTATTCATTTTGTATTTATAAGTCGATAGTGACTTAAAAAAATTAAAAATGTATTTTATATATATATATATATATATATATATATATATATATATATATATATATATATATATATATATATATATATATATATATTCCGTCAGAATTTTCGAATTAGGAGAATTATCATCCACACAATTAGATTTTTAAAATTAATAGAATCTATTTTCCTTAAAATATGAAATTTTCCTTTTTTAAATTTATGTTAACTGACTAAAATACCCTTAGAATGAAATTAGTTGGTATTTTTTAATTATATTTAATTTAATAATATGTATTATTCACTTTCCAAAATTAAGTAAAATGATTAGCCCACAATTATGCATACGATAACACAATACTTAGTTTGAATAGAATAACTTAAGCCGAGAGAGAGATAGGTTCAGGTGTTTAAAGTATTTATTGTGTTATTGTATGCATAAATATGGGCCAATCAAAATTAAATAAAAATTCAATTAATTAAATAAATAAACAGGGGTATTTTAGTAATTTGATAAATAGCTTCCACAAATAGTGCCTGTAATCATGCTATCTTTCACTTTTAACCTAATTTCTTTTCTTATATACAGCAGGTCGTCGTCTTCATCCCTCATTTCTTTTGTCGATTGAGATTTCCATGTAAGAAAAAGTGATGGGTGCGAGAGTTGATTCGATCGAAGTGATAGCAACCCCTGGAAGATGTTCGGTGGCAGTCCAAGCCGAAAATGGTGGTGCGATCGTTCGCATGTGAAACATTCTCAAAAACTCAATTTTGACTTTCAACTTTGACATCCAATTGCGAACGAGTACACAATCATATTTCGAATTCAGATTTCATTTGTTCCGATTTCTTAAGCACCGATTGCGAGACCACTTGGCTACAAGATTCCAAATACAAAGCCATTTTCGATCAGAAAACTGAGTTCGATTCCAAGATTGAGTTCTGACTACTCGATGATTTTAAATACCCATTGCGAACAGGTCTTCAAAGTAATTCCGATACAGCCTTCGAATCCTGATTAAATTCGCAGGTGAGACCATTTGTTCCAATCTTGATTCCATATGAGCCTGTATTTACTCCTTCCACCGCAAGGTTGTCCTACGAAATCAAGCAAAACAACAGGTATATTCAAGGAAAAAATTACACACAACCACTTGAAAAGAATGACCCACGCAGAGAGATTGGACGACTTTGAGAGGGAAACAGTACACATGCATTGCACGTATCCGCTCTCCCTTCGTTTTCAGTCTTATAATGTTATTTGTTTAGATGTTCTTTACGCTTCAATTGAAGTTTTAAATTGGATGTTTGGATATGCCTAACAGGTGTTCGATGAAATGTGTAAGAGGGAATAAACAATAGCCTGCTGCTCCAGAGAAAATCCAATGACTTCTCATCTCCGACACCGTCTTCAGGGAAGAGACCAAGGGGTAGACCCCCCCCCCCCCCGGTTCTGGAAATAAACAACAGCCTGCTGCTGTTTATTTTAGGGATTCAGTCCAATCTTTTCAATTGTTCTTGAAGAAAGAATGTTGCAAGGGAAAGATTTAAGCAAGAAATATCTTTTCGGTCCAAGGACGAAGATATATCCCTTGCTAAGGTGATTTTCCTGTTTCTTGTATTTTTTTGAATCATTAAAGCACAAAACTTCATTAGACAAAAATCACGAATTCAGACTATAAGATTGCGTTACATTTGGTTTTCAATTTTCTTGATCATTTGAATGGAATCACGAATCCAATTCTGTTGGAATGGAATCATGAATTCTAATTCTGTTGGAATGGAATCACGAATCCATTTCTCTTTAATGGGTTTTGCGTGACTTTATTTTGGTTTGCTTCTTTATGCTTGAATTTTATCTTATACTGTTGGTTTATAATGATCACATGTTGAATACCATTATTTTTGTAGGTACGAAACGAGAGATATCAAAGTAAAATATGGTACATATGAAACTTACAACATTCTATTGGAATGGAATCTTGAATTCTGATTATGTGAGAAGAGAATCTTGAAGATGAACGTTGTATGGGATGAAGATGAACAATGATCACCAATCTTCCAAAAAGAATGGATTATTCTACCAAAATAATATACAATGTAATGAAAAAATATATATGTAATAGTATATTCTGCTAGAATGATTCATATATTGTGTTTTTTGTGTTATTAATAAGTGTAACATTCGCATAGAATAGTATATATATTTTTTTCTTTTCTAAGAATGTAATGAAATTTTTTTTAACTTGTATCCAAAATTTTGTTATTCTTCAAGAAGTTCATTAAATCAAAATATATATTATGTCAGAATGTGTAATTCTTGTATGGTTCAATCATATTTGTTACTTTTCAATATATTGATAAACATATTCCGTCAGAATTTTTGAATTAGGAGAATTATCATCCACACAATCAGATTTTTAAAATTAATAGAATCTATTTTCCTTAAAATATGAAATTTTCCTTTTTTAAATTTATGTTAACTGACTAAAATACCCTTAGAATGAAATTAGTTGGTATTTTTTAATTATATTTAATTTAATAATATTTATTATTCACTTTCCAAAATTAAGTAAAATGGTTGGCCCATAATTATGCATACGATAACACAATACTTAGTTTGAATAGAATAACCTAAGCTTATATATATATATATATATATATATATATATATATATATATATATATATATATATATATATATAGGGTGAGGTTCAATAAAGAACCATAATTAACCAAGGAACCAATCTTTTTTTTCAACTTTTAGATCTTATTTTTTATCAAAAAAAAAAACTAAAAATACAGAAATTCATAACTTTTTATTCTTTTTCCAATGATATCAAATTCGATTTTTTTTACGTCAAATTCACAATGTGAATCTTTAAAAATTCACATTGTGAATCCGGATTCACACGGTGAATCCGAAAAATATTTTTCACATTCACAATGTTAATATATGAATTTAGATATTTTTAGATTTTTTTTTCCGATAAAGAATAAGCTCTAGAAATTAAAAAAAAAGATTTGGTTCCTTGAAGAACGAATAATTATGGTTTTCTATTGAACTTTTGCATATATATATATATATATATATATATATATATATATATATATATATATATATATATATATATATATATATGTTAAAAGTGAATATATATAAACTTAGGTACCCAATAATTTAAAACTGTGTCGTTTGATAAACGATATGATTTACCAGTTATCAGACCTGATTCCTTTCTTATTTTTTTTAGGACTCCGTCCTTAAGAATCTATCTGATTTCACATCATCATTTCCATAACATCGGTTCCTGATTAATCCCACGAACATGTTTGGATAGGGAAAAAAGTGGCTGCTTATTGTTTATTACTTATTCTCACCACAATAAGCTGAGTTGAAGTGTTTGGATATGAAGTTTAAAAAATTAGCTTATTGTGGTAGGAATAAGCTAAATAAGCTGATTTTAATAAACAAGTGGGAGAATGCTTATTGTTTATTGCTTATTATGGTAGGAATAAGCTAAATAAGCTAATCTCGTCGATGGCCATGGTTCCGTTGAATGGGTTCACCATACACCCGATTTCATACCCATGGCTTGTCTGTAAAGATGTGTACACTGCAACATTCGTCGCTTCCATCACTCTTGTAGCTTACTTGTCCAGGTTCTGTCAATTCTATTTCTTCAACTAATTTCCTCCATTTTTAAGTTTCTCGGATTAATTTTGGAACAACAATTATTTTTCTTAAAATCCAACAGTAAGTTGATCGAATTAGCTTATGTTGATTAAATTTTCATGAATTCCTTGAAAGCTTACGATGATCGGTATCTCTACATTTTCTTATGTCAGTCAATATCAATATGACTAGGTTTAATTTGGATGGAATTGGTGTGTGGATACAGGGGAATTGTGAAAAGGTTAACTTCCACCCACCATGTGTTTGACATAATGCCAACATATATTATAACAGTCAAAATCAATAATTATGATACATGCTCCTCATATTAGTTATATTTCTAATAATCATAACCAAAGGAAACCAATATTATATTAAGGAGGAGCCTCGTGAAAAAGCAACAAGAAAGCCATTGTAATTACCAACAGAGAACCCAATAGGAGTGTTAATTTATTGCCAGGAAATAAAGAAAATATGACGAAACTACAAAAACGGTATGAGATAAAAAAGCAATCTTTTCCATTAGTTGGAATCGATAGGGGTAAAAGAAGGTCATTTGGGTGTAGCTCGAAGGTGGAACTAACTGATTTCTCGATCTTTGATGGCGTCCAAGTGGTGTCTGCTGACATGTAACATCCCAAATTTCGAGTCCAAAAATTTCTTTTAAAAATGTTACTAATTCATAGCGTTAAGTCATTCAAACATACAAAAAGGGTTTATTTGACAAATCATAGTTTCATTTCCAAAACACTTGTTTAATTATCAGAGTAAACATCCCAGGCTAACTTGCCATGGTGTTTGCACTGCAACCCTCCTGAGCTCCTCTTCTGAAAACTGAATACCTGAAACCAAAACTGAAAACCGTAAGCACGAAGCTTAGTGAGTTCCCCAACCTACCGCATACCATTCATATCTACTGATCCATACATGCCATACATAATACTGAGCACATAACCACATACTGGGCTCCCGCCCGCTGCATTGGGCCTCGCCCGCTATCAGACCCCGTCCGCCACAAGGCCCCGCCTGGCTTCGAGCCCCGCTCGGCGTACAGATCTGTTTTCCTTAGGCCCCGCCTGTCTCCGGGCCCCGCCCGCTAACATATACTAGCATACAATCATATCACAACACATAACATACTCTACTGGATTACTGTACTAAGGCCTCGCCTATCTTGGGCCTCGCCCCTGTCCTACTACTGATGAATCATGGAACCCCGTCCAAGCTCCTACTGACAGTGAGATACGGGCCCAACCCACACTCACTCTTTTCCTAACTTGGGCCTCGCCCCTGCTCTACTGCTAATGAGGTATGGAACACCGTCCACACTCTGCTATTGGTGAGATACGGGACCACGCCCACACTCACCTCCCTACCAGGCACATACATGTATCACACAGACAACAAGTATAACTATCATACAAACCATTCCTTGGGCACTCGCCCGCTAACATTGGACCTTAGTCCTGAATGTCATACTAGCATACTGTTCCTAGGGCTAACCCCCGGGTCTTCCTACTCATAACTACATGGGCCGACATTGTGGCCGTAGATCCATTCACACAAAGGGAAACTCACCTGCACTGCTGAACTTTGCTGATAACCCTCTGGCTGCTGTCCGATAACTCTTCGAACCGCTGCTCCACTAGCTCCCCGAGCTACTAATATCAATATAACACTTAGCTCCAAATTGAACTCTAGAAGTCAAACTAAGTCAACTCTAGTCGAAGTCAAAGTCCTGGACAAAGTCAACCTTCCAGTTGACTCGACTCGCCGAGTCAACTTGTAGACTCGCCGAGTTCTTAAACTCAGAACAATCAAAATACGACTCAACTCGCCGAGTCACCCCAAGACTCGTCGAGTTCAACGATCTCTGAGTCCCATCCTGTCCAACTCACTGAGTCACCACTCAACTCACTGATCTGCGTCTTAACCAGAAAAGGTTGAGGTTCTGCGACCAGACTTGCCGAGTCCAAGAACAGGCTCGCCGAGTCCAAGTCAATCTTCAACAAACTCGCCGAGTTGTTCTTCCAACTCGCTGAGTCCATGCTCATGTTCATAAAACTCGCCGAGTACACCCATGTGACTCGCCGAGTCTCTTCAGCTCTCAATCCATACAGTGGCTTTTCGAGCCATGCAGGGGCTCCAATCCATAGATCCACTCTTCTACAGTCTATCCCTCACGTAAAGTGACAAACTTTACGTGAAACCAAGGAGCTATAGGCCCAAAACACTCTAGGGCTAGGGTTTATGACAAAGGGCTTCACCAACAACTTATTGACATAAGCTTTATGACCTTCTGGACCACCACAAGTCTAGATCTAAGGTAGCAACCTCAGATCTAGGCCTCTAACTCGACATAGATCTCAAGCAAGCCCAAAATGC